CAAATGCCTTACTGAAGTTCAAGTAAATTATATCCACAGCATTCCTCTGGTCCACTAATTTTGTCACTTGATCAAAGAATGCAATAAGATTTGTCTGGCATGATCTGTTTTTGACAAACCCATGTTGGCTTTTAGTAATGACTTTGTTTGCCTCTAGGTGTTCACTGATTTGTTGTTTGATTATCTTTTCCAGAATCTTGCCAGGTATTGAGGTCAGGCTGATAGGTCTGTAGTTTCCTGGATCTATTTTTTTCCCTTTTTTGAAGATGGGAACTACATCAGCTCTTTTCCAGTCCTCTGGTAGTTCCCCAATGCTGTTTCACTTTATTGTGACTCTGGATGCCTTACTGAGTGCAAAAATAAAACCCCAGTGTCATTCCTCGATGCAATTTCTTCCCAAATCTGGATCTAGGTGTTCCAAACCAAACACAAGTAATGTGTGAAAATATTTTCCCCTTGATTTCTCAAAGCACCTCCCTTTAGGCACATAGTTCCACCCACTTTTGTTTTCTTTTTCTATATCCTGTATCAATTATCCTGTGTGGATAAATGTGAAAGCATGTGATTTGCCAGGATATACCCTGTAAGCTTCATGGTTTTGGGAATCTGAACCTGGATCTCCACTTTCCAGTCCAGCACTTTTACCTGTCTTAGTGCATATGAAAAGGATATTCAGTTGTTTTATAACTGCATTCTTTTTTCTGATGCATTATAAAATGCAGTGTTTTTTTTGTTCTTAAAGATTCTTTAAGCATAGGATTGTTACATACTTTTCCAAACAATATCCTAAATTTGAACATAATTCAAATAGGGGTAGCATCTAGTAAAGAAAATCTTTGCCCAACGATCTGCCTACAGCACCATTCTGGGAGCTTGGGAGCTGCAGAGTGCTGGATTAGACCAAGGGATGTATTGTCCATGGGGCTGCCTCTGAAGACAACTCGTAGATGTCAGTTTATACAAAATACTGTGTCTTTTGTCAAACAGAATATTTTTCTCATTTTAAAAGAACTCGACTCATTTCAAAGTGCTAATTTCAATCTCTGTAGCTTGAATCAAAAATAGGTAGGGCTACGTAGAAATCTAAATGGTAAAATCAGTGACAAAAACCTTTCTATGATGTATCTTTTCCAGAAGTGAAGTGAATAGTGATTAAGACCTTACCTGAAATGGAATATCCAGAAATTTGCCTGGTGCTAATTAGTTAAAAGTTTTAGATTAAATTGGCCGAATCTTTATACAAATAATACCTACTTCTTAACTGCTTCTTACTAGCCAGATTTTCATTTTTGTTACTATAGTGTTGAAAGGTGAATGTTTCTTGGTTTAAAATCAAGCTAGGTAAAAAGATATGGAATGCTGAAAGAAGATAAGATTCTTTGCTATTTTATCATCAGTATCTGACAGATAAAATGCATTTCTACATAATGTAACAGTTTTTGTCTCATGGTTACCTTGTTTTCTAGAAAGAACTCCTTGTAGCCACCTTGGAGAACATAAAGTTCAGGATAGTGCAGGGCAGGATATTCATTCATGGCCCGGTCTTCCTCTCTCAGGTAACGACACCTTCACAGCAAGGCAACTGGTTATCCTGCCTATCCAGGGACTTCCAAAACCATCTGTTTCCCTTTTCCAAAAAGCCCCCTCCCCCTCCACAGCCCTCTGTGGTCCACACTCACATCTTGGGACCCCTTTCAGAAGAAAATTCACAATGGAATACAAGGATGAGGCGCTTCTGTGGTGATGATGGAAGCAGAGGCTTCCTCAGGAAAAGTTCAAATAAGTCATCTTGCCTGTGGCTATTCAAGGCCCCCTGTAAAAAAGAAACAAAATATTGGGCTCTGCTATAAGTAGGCCCCAGATCATGGCTGGGGGCTCTACTTCAACATAACGGAAGACCACCTGACCAGGAGTGCTGCTATTAAGACAACAGTCCTCAAGCATGTTACGTATGAGTTCCTTTGCAGAACACGATTCATCCAGAATAAGAATCCCTCACCTTGATGTGGCCCCCATGATATTCATAGGGATAGCGGCAGTCAACAATATAGAACTTCTCTATAAGGCTTTGAAATTGATTGTGGAGCAGCGCTACCATCTGTAAAGAGAGCAAAATGGCACCCACACTGATGTAATCTTCATCTCTTAGTTTTACTTAACTCACAGAGTTATTATGAAGTCAAAGAATAAATGCTATCCCAAGCAGTTTGGCTGGAGAGTTCAATAAATGTGGAATAAATAAACCTTTCTTCCCTCCCTACTGGTAAAAGACTACCTATAGCCCTTTACTTATTGCCTATTACCCATTAAAAAGTAGACTATGGTGTAGCTCAGGGGTCGGCAACCTTAAACACTCAAAGAGCCACTTGGACCCGTTTCTCACAGAAAAGAAAACATTGGGAGCCACAAAACCCTTTTGACATCTAAAATGAAGATAACACTGCATACAGTATATCCTTTTTTTACCTTTATGCTATGTATAAAAAAACTATAGTGTGTTGCATTTATGAAATCAATGAACTGCTACAAAGAAAACAAATTTTTATGCCGGAGAAAGAGGGGAAAAAAAACCCTTTCTCCTTCATCCCAACAGGTGAAAACAATTTTAGTAGCTTATCTACCATCTTTAAATACAGCATAATTATCCCCATACATCATCTCTTAATTAAAAAAAATCAAAATATCCAGATATATATTTATTATTTATTTATTATTTATTAATTTGATTTATATACCGCCCTTCTCCCGAAGGACTCAGGGCGGTGCACAGCATATTAAAAACAAGTAACAATAAAATACCAAAATAAAATAAATAAATACCAAAATAAAAACCCCTCTAAAACCAAATTAAAAGCCAAATATTAGTAGCTGTGTCGTAATTAAAATTATATTAAAATCATCNAGCGTACCGGTCTGTGGGAGGAAATCTGTGGCAGAAGGCGGTCTCGGAGGTAACCAGGTCCAATGCCATGGAGCGTTTTAAAGGTGGTAACTAACACCTTAAAACGCACCCGGAAGACCACTGGTAACCAGTGCAGCTCGCGCAAGAGCGGTGTTACATGGGAGCGACGAGTCCCTCCCATCACCGCCCGCGCGGCCGCGTTCTGGACCAGTTGGAGTCTCCGGGTGCTCCTCAAAGGGAGTCCCATGTAGAGAGCATTACAGTAGTCCAGGCGGGAGGTGACGAGAGCTTGAGTGACTGTGCGCAAGGCGTCCCGGTCCAGAAAAGGACGCAACTGGTGGATCAGGCGAACCTGATAAAACGCCCCTCTCTCTCTCTCTTTCTCCCTCCCTCCCTTTCCTCTCCCTCTCCTCTTTCTCTCTCTCTCTCCCTCTTTCCCTTTTTCTTTTTCTTTCCCTCTTTCCTCTCCCTCCCTCTCTTTCCTTTCCCTCTCTCTCTCTATCTCTCCCTCTCTCTCTCTCTTTCCTCTCTCCTCCCCTCTCTCCCTCTCTCTGATCTTCTGCTCACCTGGCCACTGTTCTCCAACAAGCTGACACACATTCTTATTGGGCTGGCTCTCTTCTGCCCTTGGTCTGCCAGTCCTCTTCCCCCACTAAGTAAGTAAATGTGTGTGTGTGTGTGTGTGTGTGTGTGTGTGAGAGAGAGAGAGAGAGAGAGAGAGAGAGAGAGAGAGAAGGGAAGCGCAAGTGCCTCTCTCTGTCTCTGTCTCTCTGCAAATGGAGGAGGAGGACTGGGAGCCGCAGTAGAAGACTGAAAGAGCCACATGCGGCTCCAGAGTCGCGGGTTGCCGACCCGTGGTATAGCTGAAGTCACTTAGACACTCTACCGAAGAATGTTAAGGACAGAGAAGCTTGCTTGCTTAGGTACTGCAGCAAGACCCGCTCAGCTATCTTCTGAAACTTTTACAGAACCAAGTGACCCTAAATAAAAAGGAGGTACAGCTAGAATTCAGCTGGTCTGAGAAAGTATTTGCAAAGTCAAAAGGAAAGAGAAAGTCAGACATATAAACACTTTAAAGCAGGCATGATTGCTCACAGTATCCGCAGTGATATATCTCAGATCCGAATGCCTTCCTGTGACTGTTGGCAATGCATACACCTAGAGAAACACATTCATGTTTAAAATTTCAACAATTCAAAAGTTTCTCTAACTTTTTCAAGCCTCAGCTAGATAAATCCTAACACCAGCAAAATAATCCTGAATGCAACTGCTGGGAAATAAGATACACTGGATTCAGGAGAAAATGCCCCAAAGTAAATTTGCAAATGTTTCACCTACATGTATATTAAGAAGCAAAATAATAAATATACAGTATGACTCCCTGTTCAAAACTTCCTACATGCTTTGAAGACAATATAATTGTTTGGGCCATATACTAAGTTGTTTTTTCTGAGCTATTTCAGACACTGTTGAAAATTATTGCCTGAAATGTTTTTGCCTGAAAATCCATTTACTCTCAGAAAGGGGTGGGAGGGAATATATATATATATGTGTGATGCAATAAATATTTAAATTTATTAAGTATATTTTATTTTGTTCCTACATATGTAACATCAATGAATATTTGGTATCCTCCCTTGTGAGAGTTTGCTGAATGGTGAGTTTTTCCTGGTTTGCCTAATTTTTCAAAGCCAAATAAAGATTGTTTACTGTGACTAGTATCATGGTAGAGATTATTCCAAGTTGCTCCAGGCTGCACTGCAATAACACCACCACAATATATTATAGTGTACATATTATTCAAGTAATCAGGATCACAGAATAGTAATAGAAGGATGTGACAAGGATAAAAAAGCAGCATGGAGTGCATTTATCACACCAGGCTTGAAAAACAAAATTATGAAAATGTATATGGCTCATAACTTTTTGCTCATAACTCAGTTTCTGGGTATTATTGTACCAATTCATGCAACATTTATACCTGGATAGCTATTTATGTGTTGGTATCAGAGATATTGCTTTGCTCAAATTTAATATAAGCAACGCTCTATTTTATTAGGCAGGCAAGCTCATCTAGGCAGATTTAAAATTTGTTTGCAATCACTTTTCACTAGTTTGCTCTTGTAACTGTTGTTTTAAATTGAATTCAGGATAATGTAGTAATAGATTTACTACATTATAACAGATATAGAAAATGGAATTTGTGATTTTATTTATCACAAATTCCATTTTCTATATATATCCTAATGCTTCTTTGCAGAAATGAGCTCTAGATATTTTAAGAACATTAATTTAAGATTCATTGGATCTGGGAAAAATTAATATGCACTTTTAGTTAGGTACTAAAAAAATTCAAAATATAAATCTATTAATGGCATTCTGGCAGTTATCTTAAGCTGGGCATCACACTGACTAGTACAGAGTATTGTTAATCTTAAGAATTGCTTGAGAATGGAAAGAGGGACTCACATTAACCTCTTCCCTAAGAAAAGTAACAACAGATGGCAGAATCTACAATAAAACATGCTCAAAAGTTACAAGGATATTTCAGGTTAATTTAGTGTCCATTTCAGAGCCCTTTGGTAATCTGTGAGAATGGCCAACCACAGATGAGTCTCACATCACACAGTCAAGGAAGGGACTTTTCATTTGATTTTGGTGCATTAGAATCATGCTTATCAGAATTTCTAAAAGTGAAGTAGATAGCATTATGCTAGTGTGAGCTGCTGCTGTTCATACAATTCTTAACTGGAGGTCTTAATCACCCAGCTATAGGATATGACAAACAATTCCTCTAATCTGTACCAGACCACAGTAGGTCTTGTCTGCCAACACATACTCAAATTTCCCATACTGATGAATTTTTCATCAATGTCTAGACCAGGGGTAGTCAACCTTGGCTCTTTTATGACTCGTGGACTTCAATTCCCAGGCTCAGGAATTCTGGGAGTTGAAGTCCACGAGTCATAAAAGAGCCAAGGTTGACTACCCCTGGTCTAGACTGAGAAAGTCCAGTACAGAAAACTGTTTCAGCATTGTTCAATTATTAGGAGGGGAGGTTTGAGATAGCATGGCATGGGCAAAGTCGGCATTCTTCTTCCTACCCGCCCGAAAAAAGAATTAGAGAAGCAAGAAGAGACCTACGCCAGAGAAATCACCAATTAACTGCCTGAAGCCATGGTCTTGATCAAGGGCTCTGACAATCTCGATGTCAGAAAGGGACGCTGTTTTCTTCAAAAGCACAACCTATAAACAAGCAGGTAACCCATCAATACATTTGCAGAGAAATAATTGCGAGGATCAGTCTTCTGTGTATGAAAAAGCTTGAAATAACAAAGTATTAACTGAAACCATGCTTAAATATTTCTACAAAAAATACAAAGATCCGCGTCAAAGCGGGAGAATTGAAATATTTAATACTAGAGGAAAACTTAGATACAAGCATAATGGGACCCTTGACATGCCATTCATTGACTGACTCAACTGTCAGTCTGACCAAAACCACTGAATTTAAACCATGAGAAAACTATAAATAGACTTGGGATCAAGAACGGCCCCATAAATATAGGAGGACCCCAGTTCAGTTAATGAGCAAATTAGAAATTATACGACTGCAAGGAAACGTCAATTAAAAAAAAAAAGAATTCCTAACCAAATGAAAACAAAACAAACAGTGGAAATACAAATGGACAATAAAGGTTACAAAACAGATCACGAAGAACTTACGATAAAAAGATTTAAAACAGTAATTTTAAAGCAGCGATTAGGAATAAATGGACTATTATCCTAATGGCAAGAGGTACAAGGTAGAATTCTTTAAGGACCAGTATGGGACTGTTGCCTTTTAAATGGAAACCTATCTGGGGTGCTACATTAAAAATAAAGCTCAAAAGACTCTCTAAATTGAGTGAATGAGTTTTAATTGACAAATGCAGTTCAACAAAAGCTAGTGCAAAATCTTGGAGCAAAACACCTGAACTTCTGAGATAGTGATGAAAGAAAGTTTATGATCCTTTAGAACAGGGGTGTCAAACTGCCGGCCCATGGGCCGGTTTCATCATACCGAAGCCATGCCCACCCCATTCCCGGCAATGCAAAAAGAGTCGTGATACGTCGTGACACGTCACGTGACGTGGCGAGTTTGACACCCGTGCTTTAGAACTATCTGTAATCCTTCTGTGCTATGAACTAACTACAAAGCAGTCTGAACATCATCTGAATCCAATTAGCTCAAATAAATGCAGGGATAGCAGGACTATGGATTATAGTTGAATCCAATGTATCACTTCTTAAATGCTGATTGTTTGGATATAGCAATAGAAGAGAGTTAGCTCCCTCAAATGTGTAAACTGGGTGTAATCCGCTGACCAGTGGATGAAACAGAATAAACAGATTTCTGGCCAGCAAGGCTCCTCTAAACATCTTAGCTGTTTTGTCTCCCTCTCTTTGAACAAGAGAAAAACACCTATTCTTGTTGACATCGTTCAGGGGTAGGCAACCTTGGCTCTTTTATGACTCGTGGACTTCAACTCCCTGAATTCCTGAGCCAGCATGGCTGGCTCAGGAATTCTGGGAATTGAAGTCCACGAGTCATAAAAGAGCCAAGGTTACCTACTCCTGACATAGTTGATCCAACTACCATTCTAGCCTTGATACCAAGACCCAGGAATTTAGGGAAAAGGGATGTGAGGACCATATCCAGCTATTTCTTACCCCATCTGGCCCTTCTTGGATTGGGCTGCTCTTCCATTTCACCTTAGTTGGAGTTTCATCATCATAGCTTCTCACTGTCCTCTTTGATGCAGGCTTGTTTAGTTTTTCTGGCAGAGATGGAGATCGGAAGAGGCGGCTCTTGTTCATGGAGACCTGCTAAGTGTGCCAAACAAACAGGGAGATCAAGATAGCAGGAGAGAAGGACCCTACATTTCACTGGTAAGGCTTCAAGGCATCAGTCTCATTAAGAGGGATTGACTGATGGGAGGGATAGATTTTTCTATCAACTGTACTTCCATATAAGTATTGCTACCTCTCTCAGATGAGTCTGACAGCCTTGCAAATCAGTCCACAAACTGTTTTAATGGCCCAGCCATAAACATGTTAAAATTTGAGCCTTTAAAGCTGCTGCTGTTTCCAGTCTGGATCATTTGGAAGACAAGATGTTATTGCTACTGGCTACAAGGCAACCTGAGTTAACTAAATTGCTGATTAAAAAGTCCCTATTTACCTCACTAATATTGATGTCCTGAGCAAGGAGTGGTCCAGACAACAAGTCAGCTATGCTACAGTGGTGCCCAGAAAAGGATTTCTGTGGAAGAATCACAGGAGAAAACAAACATTTTTAAAAAAAAATTATTGCCAGATAAAAAGAGAACATTAGGCACTTACAACTTTAATAGTTGTACAAAAGAAGGATTTCAATGGAGGAAGCTCACTTTACAAAATATTTTCAGTCCTCTTATTCATCTGACTATGCTGAACCCGGAGCTATTTCATTGTACTGAATCAGAAGAGTGGCAAATGCAGAACCACTTCTATTAACAAAAAATACAACCCTTCCTTTAATTCTGCCAGGATCTGGATGGCAATTCCATACTCTACAGCAGGGCTTTTCAACTGGTGGTACGCGTACCACCTGTGGTACTTTGCCACGTGGCAGGTGGTAGGTGACCGTCCTAGAGAAGTGTAGCTGGGGAGGGGAATGAGCTGAAGCGACCCAAGCCTGAAGGAGAGGCAGCTGCAGCTGCAGGACTGTCTGGGCTCGGCAGAAGCCCCAGGAGCCGGAAGGGCTCCAGCTGATTGGCTGTGTGGGTGAAACAAAAACATAAATTTTGGGATGAAAGGATGAGTATATTTTAGTACAGGTAGTCCTTGAATTATAACAGTTCATTTAGTGACCGTTTGAAGTTACAGTGGCAGTAAAAAAAAGTGATTTGTGACCGTTTTTAACACTTACAACCACATGATCAAACATGATCAAAATTCAGACACTTGGCAACTGATTCATATTTATGACGGTTACATAAGTCATGTGATCACTTTGTGCGACCTTCTGACAAGCAAAGTCAATGGGGAAGCCAGATTCACTTAACAACCCTGTTGCTAACTTAACAACTGCAGTGATTCACGTAACAACAGCAGCCAGAAAGGTCATAAAACAGGGCAAAATTCACTTAACAACTGTCTCACTTAGCCACAGAAATTTTGAGCTCAATTGTGGTCGTTAAGCCGAGGACTATCTGTTCTTACAACAGTTCATTTAGAAGTCTATAGATACAGAAAGGAGGTATTTCTGAGGTGACCAAGCTCTAGAACTGATGACAAATGAATAGAAGAAATCCTGTTGGGCTTTGGAGCAAGCTGTAATTAGGGGTGTTTGTTTTTATCTGGCAGAAGAGAAACAGACGTTGTTCACAGAATCTCTGCTAACAATGTTCAATATTTTGAGATACGTTGCATGTCATGATTGAAATTACTGGATTAGGAAATCTAAAACAACTCATTATTGAAATCCCAGAAGGAATGAACTTTTCCTTATTCTAGTATGCTGCCATAGGGATATGAATAAATTACATTTTAATGTAAATTCTTAGAAATTTAGCTAGTGGCAAAAAAACAAACTGAATTATATCTAGGTTTTAAGAGATCAGTCCCAAGTCAAGTCTGAATCTTCTCCTCAGGATAAAACTAATATATAAACTTCTCACCACCACGATAATTATCATCAAAAATGCAGTGACCAGACTTGAACCCTAGATGTTTATACGAGTAGTCCTCGACTTACAACCACAATTGAGTCCAAAATTTCTGTTGCTATTTGTTAAGTGAATTTTGCCCCATTTTATGATGTTTCTTGCCACAGTCGTTAAGTAAATCACTGCAGTTAAGTTAATAGCAAGTTAAGTGAATCTGGCTTCCCCATTGACTGTGCTTGTCAGAAGGTCGCAAAAGGTGATCACATGACTTTGGGACACTGCAACCGTCATAAATATGAGTCAGTTGCCAAGCGGCTGAATTTTGATCATGTGTCCATGTGGATGCTGCAACGTCGGTAAGTGTGAAAAATGATAAAGTCATTTTTTCCCCAGTGCTGTTGTAACTTCAAAGGGTCACTAAAGGAACTGTTGTAAGTTGAGGACTATCTGTAGTGTCTTGGAATACTATATTTAAACCTGTCCTTTGAACAAAATACCTAGCCATTTTTTTTCCTAATGTTTGAAAATGTTTCAGTGTAACAGAATACAAGCTCCTACTTCCAATTTCCCCAAAGATCACCCAGATGGCTCTTATCAAAGGCTTTTAGCTCCCCCTCCAGCCTTGCAGCAGAGCAGACCCAACATCACTATTACTTGGCATCGCTGCTATTCATGGTTGGCAAGCTACCCTTGTTTTTCTCTGGTTTTATTTAATGAATACAACTGCCCACAAAGTGACTTTTAACTCATCCTTCTCACCTCTGTTTCTTCCTTTTCACTGGAACAGAGCTCAGAAAAGCTGTCCAAGGCTTCTGGGATTCCTGAAGCATCCATTGGGCTGCCAAGATATTTCATCTCACAGTCCATTAAATCCTCTGCTTTCTGGAAAAGAAAAACAATTACAGATGAAATGCACTGCTTTTCAAACAGGCCAATGTTTACTGTACAGGTAGTCCCTGACTTACGACCATTCATTTAACAAGCATACAAAGTTATGACAGCACTGGAAAAAAATGGCTTACAGGTGATCTTTGCACTTACGACCTGCAGTTGCGTGATCGTGATCTGGGTGCTTGGAATTGGCTCATATTTACAATGGTTGCAGCCTCCCAAGGTCACATGATTGCCATTTATGACCTTCTCAGCCAGCTTCCAACAAGCAATCTGATGAATGACTGTGTGATTTGCTTAACAACTATGGCAAAAAGATCATAACATTGGGTGTGGCCCCATGATGACTCATTTAGCAATTGTATCACTTAGTGATGGAAGTTCTGGTCCTGACTGTGGTCGTTAAGTCACAAAGTACCTGTATGTGTTTTGATTTCCACTCAACGAGATCCAAAATACTAGAGTCATATTGTATTCAAATCTTCCTAACCAAAGTATTGCAACTGGTCTTTTTCCCTGTGGTTTCCACACTTCTTTTCTCCTGATCTTCTGAATCTTTTTTAAAATATAGTGCCAAAACCGAATGTAATAAATAATAAAGTGGGGGTTGGCAAACACAGGATAAAACAAAGCTATCTCATCGTTTAAAAAACACTTTTCTTTTAATGCAATCAAAGTTGCCTTTTTTTCCTGCTGCATTACCTCACTGATCCTCACCTTCTTCCAGACAAGTATAAACAACTTCAGTAACTTAACACCTTCTGCAGTATTTCAATAAACTTCTTTTCATATCTCAGCCCTTATTAATACTCAAATTGTAAAAACTCATCATTTAGTCCTAATCAGCAAAAATCTATTAAGAGCTACCAGAATATACAGGTAGTCCTCACTAACTGTTCAGAGTTATGATGGAACCGCCCCCAAAAGTGCTTACAACCTGATTTCAAAGTTACAATGGCCGCACTCCCCCATCATGGCCTTATGGCCATTTGCAATTTTCTGTGGTTGCAACTACAAAATGTGCTTACAATGGATATTGAGTTAAAATGCCTCATCCCCTCATGACCCTTAGAAATATCTGCAATTTGCCCCTGGAAAGTATCATCCATATTTTTTTCCCATATCAGAAAAACTAGAGCGGACATCACTGCCATGAAGCAGAAAGATCTACCTAGATCTTGGCAGAAGATTGTGGGTACTTATAGAAAAGTCCATCGGCTACAATAGATACTCACATTTCTCTTGTTCATCGAAGGGCACTGAATTTCCCTGCTAATTTTCTGGAGGTAATTTGGTGTGCTGCACAATACCTCAGGCTAAAATATCAAGAGGAATGGCATTGTCAAGTTCTGGTTTGGTATGTATGTATATTGATTTATGATATGAGACTTAAGAGCATCAACAAATTGGTGCTCCTGGTTCTCAGATTCACTTCAAAGTCTCTCATAAGGTAACTCCATCATAGCAGAAAGGATATACCTGGAGGAACTGCACACACTGCTTCCTTGAGTCTCTGCTGAGAGAAAAAGAAAGCTAGTCAGAGATCCTTGGTATGAATGGAGTAAAAATTTAGCATACTAAATGCACCCCAATCTAATCCCATGGATACCTGGTTCACATCCTGGGATATGTTATGTTTTGTTTAACCATTCAATAGTTTATTGAATAAATCACAGTTGGCTTGGTTTGCATCATATGCTGAGTAAAAATAACTCTATGTTGTGCACCAGTTGCGGCCATTCTTGGATCAAGATTCCCTGTGCTCAGTTGTTCAATCCCAAGTCATTCCACGGCTGGACTATTGTAAAACGCTCTACATGGGGCTATCCTTGAAGAGCATTTGGAAACTACAGTTGGTGCAGAGTGGGTAGTTTTGAGAGCCCCAAGAATGGCCCCTGTAATACCACTGCTCTGCAAGCTGCATTGGTTACCAGACTGCTTCTGGGTATAATTCAACTATTGGTGATCACCTTTAAAGGCCTTCATGGCATGGGTCCAGGTTACTTGAAGGACCGTCTCACCCCATTGGGATTGGCCCATACCTCTTGTGCTGGCAGAGGAGGCATGCTGTGGGTCCTGTCACGCCAATTATTCTGGCTGGAGGGTCCAGGAGGAGGGCCTTTTCTGCTGTGGCTCCTGCCTCTGGAACATCTGCCCCCCCATATGAGGTTGGTCCCAACCGTATCTTTTTGTAAGGGCCCAGAGACATGACTTTGCCAGTCGGCTTGGGGCCCCAGTGGGGGAACAGCACAATGGGAGGTGATTGATTGAGCAATAACAGATTCCACCTCCCCCCCACTCCCCCCCACCCTCCTGTGTCTTTGGTTTTAATGTTTGATTTTAACTTTTTATGTTTTAACTTAGATGTAAATGTAAGCCACCCAGACTTATCCTATGGTAGGGTGGATGGCCAATAAGTTTTATCTATATAAATAAAAATGTAAATGTTCGTTTGTTCAAAATCTTAAATCTCCGAAGGTTCTTCACCGATTGCTTTGAAATTTTGACACAACATTGCATTCGAATACGCACGTGTTTTTATATACCTATATTATATAGATGTCACACCTGTGACAGGTAAAACATGCTTTTTTTGAAAAACAACGCCATCTGTTGTACGTAAAAGCAACACACGCTTTTACCAGACTGAGCCACAGCAACGCGTGGCTGGATACAGCTAGTAAATAAATAAATCCAAGATGAGCAAGCTTGGGCTGGGGAAATAACTTGCATCCGAGGCTAGCTGAGGGCTAAAAATGAAATCACAGTAAAGGATTTGTAACGTCAAAGGAAAGGATTGAACTGCATTTTTTAAATTTGTTTTTTTATTTGGAGGTGGAGGTCAAGTGTAGCCACACCACCTGAGAAAGGAGCAAATAGGCTCTTACCCAGGAGTCTGACTAAGCAAGACGCACAAACTTATTTAATACATCAGTGCTGAGCAAAATTGGCCACTGCTGAGTTAATAGAAGTGCTACAAAGGAATTTAGGACTATTTGCAATTTTGACAGCAGATCAATTAAACCCAAATGAAAATAAGGATAATATGGTAAGCTATAAAATCAGTAGGTAGAACTTACAGTTGATCCTGGAATTCTGTTAAGTTATTTTTATCTACAAGTCACAAAATGAGAAAATAGAAGTCTGAAAACCTAGGAATAGTTATACTATTAAATAGCAAATACACCTGAGCTTAAGGAATTCAAATCAGAGTGAACTGATTAAATCATCTTCTATCGTATCTAAAAATTAGTTATCCTGGTTGAGCTAAAGAAGTCCAATCAATATGGAATACAGGCTTGCAAAATATATTCAGTTGTTTAAGATACAGCTAGAGTCCCACAAACCATAAACAAAAGCCTATCACATAAGAAACCACATAGCTCTATTAAACCAAGCTCATCATGTAAGAAATTATATAGATAATATAATACAAGTAGTGAAATCAAGGAGTGGTTTGCAATTTTTGTAATCTTTTTTAAAAATGAAATTTTGTAAACTATACTTCTTGGCAGTAAACTGTAATTGCAGTACTACTTCAATAGATAAAAGAGGCAGCTGTGTGTATAGCTCTATACTTTTTGTAAACCTGGAATATAGCAGTGAAATTTACATGGATATCTGGCTTGGGTTTATTTCTAGGTTTGTTATGATCTATAAACATATCAATATACTGCCTTGGGAAACAAATATATTAAATAAAATAGTACAGATAATTGCATTTGAGGTTACTAAAAACCAATCTAAGACCATTTCTCTTAGCTTTAGTTCTAGTAATTACCTAAACTTGTTAGAATACTAGAGTTCATATAAGAGATGAAATGATATGTCTGTGACAACAAAACTTGCTTTTATATATACAGGTAGTCCTTGAGTTACAACCACAATTGAGCCCAAAATTTATGTTGCTAAGCGACACATTTGTTAAGTGAATTTTGCCCCATTTTATGATCTTTCTTATCACAGTTGTTAAGTGAATCACTGCAATTGTTACCAAAGTGGTTGTTAAGTGAATCTGGCTTCCCCATTGATTTTGCTTGTCAGAAGGTTGCAAAAGGGGATCACATGACCCTGGAATACTGCAACCGTCAGAAATATGATTCAGTTGCCAAGCTTCTAAATTTTTATCACATGACCATGGGGATGCTGCAACGGTTGCAAGTGTGAAAAATGGCGATAAGTTACTTTTTTCAGTGCTGTTGTAATTTTGAACAGTCACTAAATGAACTGTTGTAAGTTGAGGAGTACCTACATGTTGTATAAAAACTGCTCATTAATAGCAGAACTAAAACTCTTAGAGCAGGTAGCAATTATTACCAGTTTCCAGTGCTCCTGGAGACTGACTGAAGGTGAAAGCAATTTTCTCTTCTCCGCTGCTGAGATTGGACAGATCTAAGCAGCATCTTGGTGTATCCCTGCAAATTGTGAGTAGGCAAGTAGATACACATATCCACACACATTAGCAATGCACCACTGAAATCCACACAAATTAGCATCACACCATTGAAATAAAAACATAAGTTATATTAGGATGAACACCTTTAGACAGTCTCATACATCAACTGACAGATTATATTTGAAAACTGTTCCCCACATTTTAATATAAGAAGAGGCTAGAGAGTCATTTGTCTGAGATGGTATAAGTTCTTCTGCTTGAGCGGGGGGGGGGGGGGGGGGCTGGACTAGAAGACCTCCAAGGTCCATTCCTATTCCATTCCATTCCATTCCATTCCCATTCCCATTCCATTCCAATATATCCCCAGAAGATAACATCTAGTCTAAGATGCTAGTTAAGATTGCTATTGATTGGATCAAGGCAAACTTAGTCAAGTCTTATTGAAACCAATGTAAAAAAGTCAGAAAATGGCTAAGTCTGTCCGTACACAATAGACTAAAGCTTATGGCTCCCATATCAGATCTAAAACAGTCAGAGCCCCAAAATGGAATTTTTAAAAATCACCCTCTTCCCCTACAATTCAAAGCTGCAATTTATTACTCTTGCCATTAACTGCTGTGAAAAGTCATTCTTTCTGACCATCTAAATCAGGGGGTCTTCAAACTCGGCTCTTTTGACTCATGGACCAACTCCCAGAATTCCTCTGCCAGCATGCCTGGCTGAGGAATTCTGGGAGTTGGAGTCCATGAGTCATAAAAGGGCCAAGTTTGAAGACCCCTGCTCTAAATGCTCTTGGGCATGCTTAACAAGCAAGATTATATGCTGAATGATTTATAGGTAGTTCATAAACCTCCTTATCCAACTACCAAACTCAGTGTACTCATTTTCAAAGTTGGCATGTTATCTGAACTATAAAGTAACTATAGTGACCCACTATGCACAGTCTTTATACCTACTTATGTCTGGTGAAGACCTGGAGATCGCTTATTCATATTTTAGCTATGTTTAATTTTTCCTAAAA